TCCTGCCAGTACATTGACTGTTTCTAATTGTATTGGATAGTTGTATTAGTCAATAATATTTGGTTAAGATAATTGGGAGTTAGAAATCATAAGAAGCACAAATAAAGAGAGAGACTGGTAGGCATAGAAGAATGCTGATCAAGTTAAAGTCCTGCAAATATTACTTGCTAAAGATTTAAAGGAAGCGGACTGGAAGATCTGCAGACCCACATCAGTGTGGGAGCAGACCAACAGAGCTGGTACTAAATATCCTAGGAATACAAATACAATCTTCACCAATAAAGAAAAAAATTGAAAATTATTACTTAAGATGTGAGACTTGTGCAAACAGTCCTGCAAAGATTAGTTACTGAAAGATTTGAAGGAAGAAGACTGAAAGCAGTGTTTCAAAAGTATTTCACAAAAATTATTAATTTCACATTAAAAAATAAATAAATAAACAACTTGTAGCGTCAAATATTATATTGTTAGCTAACTTAATTAAGGTATGCTTTAGTCATTGAAGTCGACTCAGAAATATGTGAATGGCAGTTGCAAGTTCCCTAAACGAATTTATCTATTATCTTGACAATTTCCTACATAAATAAAATTAAAATTAACAGACAACTTAACAAAGATTACAAGCTTTTGAATGAAGATTGGTTCCAATCTGGAAGTCATTGTTTAGGAATGGACATATTGTGATTGAAATGGTGATGATAACTCCTAAATCAAAATAAGGCAAGTATAGTAAAGATGAAGTAGTTTTTGTATTATAAAGTTCATATCAGAATTAAGACATTTCTACGCCTTTTAAAACATAAAAAACATTTCTATACCTAGGATTGGAATATTGTAAATGAGGAGTGGAAGACTATGGGCCAATGCACTGATGTAGTTTTTAATAGATAGTATTTATACCCCGTATATTATTAGATATGTATTGTATTGTATTATATAAATATCCAATGACTCAACTGATTAATTGTTTAGGAACTTTATTATAGCTCTTCACAGTATTTGATTCATAGACTTTTAATCAATTTATTGTAATGTTTAAATATTAAGTAGATTACTTAAGTAAATGGAATAGAAGATTAATACATGGATGGTAGAATAGATAGAAGTAAAATGCCCAACTTAAAAAAATCATTTTTCAAAACCTACATAATACATATGCTCAAATTCAGATGAATTCAAAAATATCTGTATAAGTCAGAAAATGCATTGCAATGCTTTTAGAATATAGGTGAACAAACTTATATCAGAAGAATACCACCAACATTATTTAAACAAAGATATTTCCTCAAAAGGCCATATAATATCAACATTATATATTCATATAATTTAAACATTTTCCTGCCCGATTGCTATAAATCTGCATTTGATTACAGTAGGTACCTGTATTTTAACAAAAGCATTGATGACCTCTACAGTGCATGAAAAAACCATAAAACGATGCCATGGCCAAGGATATTTTCAAGTTTACATGCGGGAGATGATTGGCCACTTATCATGCAGTCTTATATTTATTGAAATCTATAGTATTAGTGGATGTTTCTAGAACAAATTGCCAATACTTAGTCATAAATCTGTTTAGAAACTGTAATTTCACAACTTGGTAAGATATTCATTCTGCTGTGATATCACTTAGTGGATGCACCATTGCATTCATGATAAGCAGAACTATTGAGACATTTTACATTATTTTTCTTAGTAGTTATTACAACTTTCTTTGTTATTTTATTGTGATATTACTTATTATAGTATAATTAATCTGATATTATACTAGCCCTTATTTTTCACAAGATATTTAATATAAATAATGTTTTATGTCTTTATGCAAATAATATCTACTGCGTCTGAGAACATACAAGTTAAGATTCAGACCAATTAAGTTATGATTTAGACCAATTAGGTTTGAAAATGAGTCTTACATTACTTGATGTCAATTATAGTTTTTTTTCTTATTAGAAAGAGAGATGTAAAATTGATTTTAGTGGACATATTGGAATAAACTAGTCCAATAACAACTAAATACTACACTTTTGTGTAGCACTACTCACAAGAACCATTGCATTCATTTTAATAGATGAAATTAAATCAATTTAGTAATGGGTTTTTCTGTTGATATTTCAAAAATGGACATGGTATATTCGTTGTCATTTTATCAATGTTTTCCTATAGTGACCACTTACACTTTTAAGGATTTGTATTGCAAACTATTGTATAATGGAAAATGGCATGCTATTATTTTTTTTATATATCAATTGGTTAGTTATCAATCAATGTTATTAGAATTACCCTCACATGAAGGAAAAAAGAACATTTTACTCAAATAAAGTACCATCATCAAAATAGCAGTTACAATCCGACATGTTCTGTTTGACAAAACTATAGGAAGCAAGAACGGTAAACAAGAGATTTCCTTTGTTTTCTAAATATTGATTTTATTTATATTTTATGTTTATTTGTTAGACTACCTACTTCAAGAACTATGCTACTACAATATACTACAATGTAAAATTGTTTTACTTACTATTGGCAGAGCTCTATAACCAGAAACATGTTTAACATATACACTAATTACAAATTACACAGTGGACTGATGACCCATTTAAAGTTGTGTAAGTAACTATTGCATTACTACAAACCCACTTAGAAGTTTATTATCATCTGTGGGAATGCCACAGCTACTTCAAAGAATGATAAAAAAACAGTTAGAATAGAAAACATTTGAGTTATTTGGCCCAGTACCATACTAACATATGTGCTTACAATAAAGCCTTTTGTCATCAATTTCGTGATTCATTTAGCATAGGAAATGAACAAAAGACTTCTTCACTTCATTAATTATACGAAAAAAACTAATTTCAACGTAAAAACTGAATGAAAACAACTGAATGGTCGGCACAAAAAACTTTATCTACGATCAGTAGAGATTCCATGAATAATGTTTAATTCAGGTAAACAGTGCAAATAGGTCTTGAACAATAAGTTAGGGCGATAAATGGATCGCAACAATGACTCAACCCTGCTTTGACAAGTTCACAATTTGACATTTTACCTAAGAAAAAACAATTCAATCTACTGCTTTCGTAAGCGTCTTGTGGCCACTTTGAACACTCAATCGCCAACATATTTTTGAAAATAATACGTTTACAATCTCACAACACAGTTTACGTTGCACATTATGTACCTACTCTCGTAACTAGATATACGTCGGTCAGCTGCCATTCAAAAGAATATGTGGCAAAAGTCAAACTTTCATTTCGTACAAGGATACACTAAAAATACATTATAAACACTCAATATACGACCACTTGCTAATAAGAATATGCAATCTTTACTTTCGTTACACGATTCCATTTTAGGAGAAAAAAATTAAAATCGATGTTTACCTTACGTCTCCTCTCAATGCAAATCTTTTCTATTGCAGAACCGAGACTGCTAACCCTTCCGCTAGAGTCGACGATGAATCCTTTCCAATGGACCTACAATGCGGTTCACGAATCAATTTAAAATAAAATGCAAAGCTGAAATAAATACAACTGTCCCGAAGATATTTTCTGCGAGTTACTATACATTTGTTTTATGAAATGGCCTAATCTTTTACAAGATTCCGTTCTGTATTTCCATAGACAAATTCATATACTTTTTAATTTCGAATAATGAATGAGTAATTTACCACTTTTGTCAAGGATACTACTTTCTCCCCAACTTAATATTTGAGAATTTTGTATTTTAATTAATTATCATACCTAAAAATACAAATATATTATAAATCATAAAAAACACAATTGTTATAAAAAACTCTTTCAATAAACGAAGCGCTATTTAGCAACGTTTCAAAGCGTTACAAGAAGCATTACGCTTGAAGAGTAGTTTTGATTGGACAATAACATGCATCCAGAGACAAGTTTAATTTCTTAACCAATAAGAATGGTGGAATGCTTTGTTGACGTTGCCGTCGAATCATATTCTTTTTCTTTCTATTTTGTTCGATAGAAAAGTCTTTAATATGTAAATGCCATTTGTATTTGGAATATTTTTTATATAAACAATAATGTTCATAAAATATTTCATTTTATATACTGGTTAGGAGAAAAAATCATGAAAAGAATATTACCTATACTGATTCCATAAAAAATTTAATGGACTCACAAACCTCCTAATATTTTAATCTGTGCAATGCAACCTAACATTCTTCTTCGATTTCCGTTCCGTTCCATTGTCATAGTAAAGTGCGGGAAAAACAAAGTTTTGATTCTATGTAAAAATTTATAACTATAAATACTCTGCAGATTTCAGGTAACTTTTTAATGTAGAGATTTATTATCTTCATCAGAAAACAACCCCTTGCCGTAATCGCCTGTCCCCACGCCCGGGGCTTGCTCGCTTTTAGGTCACCGAACATTTACAGAACGCTACTGTTACTAAATACTAAATCGGTACTCATGGCCATTCACAACTTTGTTTTATAAATTCCTTATACATTTATAGCTTTACGCCTAGTAGATTAGATACCCGGCCATACCTTCCCCTAAAGCAGCTCGCAACGCCAACTTCACACAGTTACTGTTCAAGTTCAAGAACCACGCTATTCACTGACAGAAAAAGGGACATCAGTTGAGTTATTTTTAGTAACTGCTGGGTAGACACGATGGTAACTTTATAAAGCGACGATTTAAACTTCGAAAGGATACCTATAAAATCTGGGCATTAAATTCGGTGGATTACCTAATTACTAGCTAGAACTTCTAAACTTAATTGGTCGTAGATCGTACAGTACTAAGAAAATGCAGTAGCAAGTAGCCAATTCTTGCTAGAGTTTGTAAATGTATTTGTATTTAAATTACTTGCTGAATTGAATTGAATGTAGCTCTTGCTTGTCCATGTTCTGTGTCTGCCCATATTCAATCAAACAGATTTTTGCAAGCAATTTTTATATATAGTTTTTCAGTGTTATTATTGAAAATCGGGATAGTTACAACTTAGAAAATAAAACATGAGTTACAAGCATATTATATATTTTTTTATAATAATTAAGAATAAATTCTTACATCACGAGTTATAAAATAAATACATTTATTGCCTTAAATTAAGTCCAAAAGTACTCTGTACAATTATTGTTAGCGATGTACAAACGAGAACGACAAGTAAAAAATATCCAAAAACAAATAAAAATAAAATTAAAAAGGACCTTATCGTGAATCAGTAAAGTTTCCACAATTCTCCGTGTGACAAATCTACGAACAACTTAACAAATTGTGTCAGAATCACAACCAATAGTTTGCATCTTAATTTCATCTCTTATCAATATTACACAAACTATTTTATATCATTGCTCTTCGCTTATTACTAAAACAAGAACCATTCTTTACCTTATATTATAATTACAATTAAATTAAGACTATCTAATTGCTAGCGGGTGTTTCTTACTGGACTGTTGTGCTGTTTCCTCACAATTACTCCATGCCCTTTGTAATCTCGAGATCTAGAGCTGAGTGCAGACTGTGCTACGTTGAGCTAATACCGCGGCTTATAAATCTTTACAATAATTTCGTTGGAACGCGCTCCGTGTCTCCGCAACTATTTATTCGACGTGTTACGTCACCCAACGATACTTGGCAATTGGCACAAAGCAGTGAATGAGATCACGGGAGAGTACTGGACTAGTATCGCTATGATACTCAAATATACCTTGGACCTTACGTTAGGTATTTTGTCAAATCCTGAATAAAACAAATAATTATTATTCGAGGAGATTGCAACTTTAAAATCCGTCCGTTGAACATATCGGTGTCCTTCGTCATTTAACACGGTTTTATCCTATTCGATTAAAAATGGAGATCATATTTGCGTGTTATATGAAATACTATGTCCGATTTCGACGCCGATATTGATAACACGTCTTTTAAAAAACTAATTAATACTATTTTAAATGTGAAGCTAATTTGTGTTATCGTTTGTGCTACACAAATTAGCTGGCCACGTTTAGAAATATGTAAGAGTGCGTTGGGTCTGTTTGTCTGTGATGTAATGTTGTGATGAGTGATGACGTTAATGTGTATGTGTGTAGTGCAGTCTGCACACAGGTCCGGTGTGTGATCGCTCATCGCTCGCTTCGCATCCGCCGGGGTTCATTGCTTTTTAAACAAGGCATTACTTAACCAAGGCCACTGTGTCAACCACAATGTGCGACTACTAGCCTAGCATATTAATATGCCCTATGTACTATGATTAAAACAAAAACTGTTGCGATCAGATAATCTTGGCATTGTTCATACAGAATTACAGACGATAATAAATTAAATAAGACGGTTAAAAATATCACGAAATAAATTCACGTGGCAAATAATATGGCATCAGATTTTAAGTACTTTTAATTATTAAAAGTAAAGACTACTAGCACTTGTAATTAACAAGTTTTAGATTTAAGTAGAGTATAAAATGATCATGTATACTCGACACTAGCGGTATTGTTATATTAAGAGCCTAGTAAAGGTATTGGAAGACAGAAAAAACATTGCTATTCAGATCAAATGAAACAGTTAATTAACTGAAACATAATTTTCAATTTATACTGACCATTAAGCCAAATAATTATAATAAACCAATTTCACTAATTAATTAATTAACATAAAACTAAAATGGACAAAACATATAAAATTATGTACTTCTGTGTTATTAGAGTAACCAAAGTGCGGATTCAATAGTTTAAGATTACATTTTAACACAGGGTTGGGCTCCATTAATTTCAAAATTGACTAGATATCTGTGTGCATAGGAATCATATATAAAAATAGCTAAGTAAAGGAACCGATACACTGAAATTCTGGCATGTCTGTGTAAAAACCATCTAAAACTAATTTATTGCCATAAGCAAAAAATTACGTCTAAACTGTACTTTAAATTATGTAGAGTACACAATAACACGTCTAAATTTTGTACAATTTGTACAAACGCATCTGCATTCACTAACATAAAATTCATGCTCAGTCAAGAAACCTAGAATAATAACCTAAAACGAAACCGATACGCTACAATAAACATAATAAAATTAGTTTGAAAAACTTCACAACATCGAAAAATCTCACAATAATACGCGGACTAACGAAAATCACTAACAAAATATTTGATCTCTCATTTCACTGGTGTACAATTTATTAAGTACGGTCGCATTCTTCGTCGACGAAAAACACAAACTACCACCGATCAGTCTGCAATACAAAAGAACGAACGTCGCTAAAACTGAACAGCATCGACAGAGCCGCGACGTCATACCGCGGCACAGGCGGCGCACTCGGTCGCCGGCCATCACTTAGACGGCTGGTACGGCGGGTACGTCTGGTGGGGTTGCGCCGCGCGCGACCCCGTCGCGTACAGCTGCTGCTGGAAGTTGTGGAACTGCGCCGCGTACGTCGGGTCTGCCGTCGACGGCACTGCGAAGCCCTGACCCTTGAAGCCTGGCCCCGGCCCACCCATGGACGGCGGCAGCGGTTGCGCTGACCCCATGCGTACGTTACCGGGTCCCATGCCACCCTTCACGCCCCGGAAGCTAGGCCCACACATGGGGTTGGGCCCAGGCCCACCGAAAGGATCGGGCATCTTGGGCGGGGAATTGAACCCGGCGGGGTAGTGGTGCGGCATGCGGAGCATGTTGGGTGCGCGCATGACGCCGCGCATGCTGCCCTCCATGTCCATGGCGCGCGCGCCTGGGAAGTAGGGCACGCCTCCCTTACCGCCCTCCATTTGCATCTGTGGGTTCGTCACTCGCTGCAAGAAGTCCAAGCTGGGGGGACCTCGTGGTCCTGAGTTGCAAGGCATCTGCGGCCTCGTGGGCAGGTACTGTATCGTGTTAGGTGCGCTCGCTTTAACTTGTACGTTTGCACCGTTGAAGGGTGGCATTTTGCCAGCACCACCCATTCTGGGTCCCATCATGGCTGCGTCAGGTCCCATCGGTCCCATAGGACCGCCCATGGGCCCTCCACCCATTTTTGGACTAAGATTCATATCAGGCGGGAAGTCGCCTCCTCCCATCATTCCTTCCATAGGTCCACCCATTCCTGGCCCACCCATGTTGTCCATATGGCATCCTGTAGCAACAAAATAATAGTTGTGAACATTATTTTGGAAATTAAAATAATTGTTTTACAAATATGTACTAGTTAGAAACGTATGGTATCATGTCAATCTGTTTTAAAGTAAATTTAATAATTTAAAAAATACATAATATAACTTTCAAAATGGTACACTACTTACCTAAATCATTCATCATCATATGTGGATGTCCATGAGGATGCATTGAGTGATGGTGTTGCATATGATGTGGTCCTGATCCGAAAGGTCCCATGTTGCCGCCATTGGGTCCCATTGGCCCTCCAGGGCCAGGGCCGCCACCACCCACTGTGTTTGTGAGCTGTTGTGACATTTGTGCCAGGGACGAAATAGGGTCGAAGGAAGACGTGGACGTCATGGGCCCATTTGGACCCTGGTTGGGGTTGATGGGAATGTTGTCTGGCCTGTTCATACTGCACGGGCCAGGGAAAGGTCCTGGAAGACTCGTGCTGTTTGGCCCACCCGATAGTGTTGTCTGGTGATGAAAAACCATTATTAATTCACACAGAAGCTACTTTATACTATTGTTTGCTATAGGTATGCAAGGAATGGGATTGACTAACGTTTTTAATGAATGTCGGTAACTCTTAGACTATGATTATCATAATTATGCAACAAACCTCATTATTTCCCGCCATAGAATCGTCCATAGATCCACTCGCCGTGGTAACAGACCCACTGGACGCTACGCTGCAACTATTCTTAACACTTCCAGCACACGACGACGATGACGACGTCGGCGCATAAGGTCCCTGGCTCAAGTTCGGGGTGTCCCGTTGTGGCGTTTTCGATGCACTGTCTTGACTTGACCGGTTCGATTGTGGACTTGGTCGAGATTTTTCATCTGGATATTAGAAAAAGGGAAGTTTATTATGTGTGGAAGTAAAAGACAATTCAAAGTTTAAGTTTAGTATGTCAAATCACTAAAGTACATCAAATAAGCCTTTAATAAGTACTTATGAAATGTAAAAAAAAATGTTTGTCAGTCTATTAATGCTGTTAGATCCAAAAATGTAGATTCGTATGTATTTTGAAGAACTAGCAAGGATTTGTCATGGTCATAAGCTTATTTGCATATACCAGAAAATAAGTCGATAATTCTTATTTATCACTTACCCTGGCACTTAGTGTTGGCAGCAGAGGTGGGTGTTTGTGGATTATTGAAGCCTGGACTCTGTTCCAAGGAGAAGCGGCCTGCTCTCGCTTCCGACAACGATCCATGAGGTTCAGGCGTGCCCGGCATCATGCTATAAACACCGTTAAATCAATATCCTGTAGGTTCATTTGAAGATTAGAAACTATTAAAATTAAAGAACGTATTTGCTGCTTATACTGTGAAATAGATTGTATCAATTTTATTAAATAGTAATAGTTCATTTATCTTGAATTTGTATGTATGTAGTTTAATATTTGTAGAGCACATAAATTATTCTATTCCGTAATCGAACTCGGGACATCCGAAGTCTAAGTTATAGCGCTAACCAAAAAATCACATATCTTTAAACACACATGAAATACTAAAAAGTAACAAATTAAGACTCTTATACATACCCGGCGGGTGATTTCTGATTTGAGTTAGATTGTGGTGTTTGCCCTCCACTGTTTGATGGCGGCCCGTTGTCTTTTAGTGACGTGTTTGGCTGTTTCTGTATTGTTAACTCTTGACCTGCCATAGTTAATTAAAACTATTACAACCATAGACAAATACAAGTTCAAACGGACGAACAATGTAGAATGAAAGATCGAATTAGCCATAGAGTATGAAAGTACGTTATGTTAGCACATTTTCACCAACCACCACCAAAATGAAAACATAAATATAGAAAAACACATACAAATAACTACTATGAAACACATGAATCAAAACACACAAAACGTGGGTAGTTACACATTTTTTTACAAACGCAAATGTGTAACTACCCTTCAAAAATGAAACACAAACTGTAAGACGACCGAATAAGTATCAAAATAATTCATTTTAATATATTATTCGGTAATCTTACGCTATAGGAGTAAATATTTAAAGCGTAAATAAAATGCAGTCTTAATTAGAGCCACAAGCAGAAATAATACAATGCTAAAACATTAGCCTGGGGTTACACTCAGTGGGACAAAAATTCATGCTCAAAAATTAAGAAATAAATAAAATAGGCCCTAAAACGCTTTTTCTTTTAAGTGTGACCCCCGGATTACGATTATTTCTGTGTGTCGTCCAATCAAGTTACCTTCGAACTGGTTGAGGTACGATATTTGCTGCGGTGACGGCACGGGCATCAAACTCGGCTCCTTGCCGTGCGAACTACCCTGTTGGTTCTTCTGCTGTTGCGCCGCCAAACATTGGAGAGTACGGACAAACACCCCCTCGTCTAGTTTCTCTAGTATTTCTTATGTGGCCAATGTTTGTTCCAACGTTATGGTCCAATATTTGAGTGGTTACAGCCACATATGGTAAGGGTTTAGTCCAATTTTGTACGTGTATTCCGTATTTTTGAAGGTATTTTATGTTATTCGTTGTTATTCATCACACGGTGGGATTTCAAGCGTCAAGCGTTTTGCGGGGGAGGGGAAGGAAAACAAAAAATACGCATTACAACTACAGAAAAACAAAAAAAAAAAAAGAAAAATATCTCGCACCGATATGGAGCGAAATGTGTCAAAAAATAAAACTCTGTCGTGGTTGGGAAAATGTCTAACACAGATAAAATATATGAGCATGCTTCTACTACTTCTATGGCTTGATTTCATGTAACTTTTCATGCGATATTTATTGACTTACCATACATGTTTTGTTATTGTGAATTAAAAGGACAATCTATCCGTATGCTGAGTAAATCTCAAAAATAATGACATGGCGCCTACATAATACATTGAATTATGAATTATGCACATGCATGTCCTTTTAATTCACATACCTATAATATTTCCGGAGTAAATAAGCTGGAGACCGCAATACTTTCAAAGAAAAAAATTAACCTTTGCAACTGGTAGAAACCACTATCGACATGTATACATAGGATTTTAAAGAATTAAGAATAAATATGCGGTATTCAGCCTCTTCTAAAATAATAATCCTATCAATCAAGTTTTTTAACTATAAAAGTCTGTAAATATTTGGTACTGACCTGGTGCATCGTTTTTAGGTCCCGGTTTGCAATGCGCAGGACTGTTAAGCCCTGAGCCGGCCCTAGACGCCTCCGCAGACATTGGCATTTGTACAGACCCGTGTCCCGGTGATTGTGTCGCTGCTGACCGTGAATAACGGTCATCTGAATAAGGTTTAGATTATGATAATTTTAGTAATTTTATAGAAAGAGTATTGTTGTAATTTATGTAAGTATTTTTTTTAAGGGGGTAAAAATCATCGAGTGACTGCTCCCGCCTGGATGAGGCGGAGGAGGAGGGGTGTCAGACTCTTACTGATTTAATTAAAACCACCCCGTTCCTACTCCTGCACTTCGAGCCGGAGCCCCGGTAACCCGTTAAGTTCTCCGCGGGTCCGTAATTTATGTAAGTATAACGAGAAATTGTAATTTTTGTTTTGTTTTATAAAAAAAACACTAGTAATAACTCTGTACCTATTTTAATTTTAAAGGTGTAATATGTAACTTCAAATTCTAATGACGCCAGGTCGTCTAATTTGTGTTTAACATAAAAATTTGTTGTTCGTTTTTGGCCAGTCCTGTTTTCATAACTTGAATTGTATTAAATAAATTATTAATTGTATTTACTTTTCCGGCAATTCGGCATTTAGGTATGTAAAATTGTTATAGCAAAATGTAACTTAATTATGTAAGCTTACCTATAGGCACAGAGGCAGATCTGTGTAAAGGTGAGGTTCCATAAGGCGGCGGGGGTAGACACCCGCCTCTTTCAGAACAGGGTGACTTTACTTGTGTGCCTGGAAATATTAACAATATTGTGAAGAAACTGTTCCCACAGAGATTTTACAATCAATGTGTAAGGTATGCCATAATAATATGTCCATGCTTTAGAAACCTCATTGTTAAAAACCAAAAATATATTTATTTCAGGCTACATAGAAAGTGTACATAGACACATTTTTAACAAAGTTAAATTTCAAAAGGAGACAGGTGTTTTTTCACTAAAATTATCTAGATTTAAACCTACAAAAGTATTTTTATAACAGTCCAACAAATGATAATTATTAAAAAAATATATCAAGCTTATAAAAAGTAGGTAATACTAACTCATGTCATTATCCATGGACTTGGGGTCATCGAAGAATTGGTGTTGTATCTTCTGCCAGTCGATGTCTGCTGAGGCGGGGCTCTTGGGGCTTCGCAGCCCCGCCTTGTGCACCCCCGGACCTAACCCACCGGGGTCGCCTGGACCCATCTGTGCATATAAATTGTATATTATGTCATGTTAAGAATAATTAACGAAGTAGTTGTTGGATGGTGTGGCTCAAGTTTATCCTAGTTTTAATAGGAAGAATGTTTTATATTATAACTTTCGTGAGAAATACTAAATTATTATTTTTTTTCGGCTTACCCACTTAATTATTTGACGAGAAAATCGACTAGTTTTGAGTAGCAGCACGACAGTAGACAATAAACATTTCAAAATAGTCTAGTTGTTTGAAATTTTCACGTATTATCCATACAGTTAATTGGGTACTTTCCTTAATCAAAAATAAATTACTTAGACTGTTCAATACAATAAAATATTTAAAATAATCACATAACATGCTGTTTGATTCTAAAAAACGTGACTATATCGTACAAAATTCACAGAAAACTGTCTTTTTTGACAGTTCGAAAAAAGTATTGAATTTGACTAGTTGGCAAGTACCCAATTCTTCGACTAGGATAGTAATAAAGATATCTTTGAAGTAGCTGGTAGTATTTGAATACAAAGACATGAAGATTGAGCTCAGTGGCTATAAAATAGATCCAGCAGTGGACACGACACGACGTGGCAGCTGATAACGACTTAGGTACTAAACACTCACGTTTCTCCCGCGTCCATATTCGTCGCACATGGGCCCATTGACGGGCATCCCATGGTGGTCTGGTCCACAGTCTCCATGAGGCACCATGCCACCCATCATACTCCCATCCATCATGATCCCTCCTGGAAGACGCGGCACTTTGTACCATCGAACAAGTTGTATAAACAGGTAGTAGAGGGCGCTAGATGCGCTTTTGAGGTTCAACACTTGATTATTTACAATGTTTTATTGATTGATAAACAATTTAGGAAAAATTTTTATATCCATGACCAAATAGTAAGTTGATATCCTAATTTTAGGCTGTTTCTGCGATTAAAAGTCGTGGCTATCATTTTATTAAAGTATAGAAAATTTCTTACCATTCATAGCATTGAGATTAGGTCCTGGCATCATTCTAGGTCCCATGTGTGGTCCACCCATCATACATGGTTTAGGCCCTCCCATTCCACCCATGGGGTTAGGCATACGCTGGAATAAACAACAAAAATAATCAGAAATAGAACTAGTATCTGTTGTCTCATTTTTAAAAGAAAATATAAAACTGAATGTATCTTACCCCCATTGGTCCTCCACATCCTCTTCCCATATGCATATCTGTACACATTCCACTCTTCATGTCTGGACCACCACATGGACCTCTGATTCCCTTCATCCCACAAGGTCCCATTGGACCCATCGGCCCGTTCGGACCCATTCCCGACATCATAGGCCCATTTGGACCCATCATACCATTAGGCCCCATAGACCCGTGCCCTCCCATTCCCATACCACCCGGCCCACCCATCCCTCCCATTGGACCACCCATGGGGCCATTTGGACCCATAGGACCGCCGGGTCCCATTGGTCCTCCCATAGGGCCATTGGGGCCCATCGGGCCGGACATTGTGCAGCTCGGTCCCGAGTTCATACTGTTTGACATGGAAACCATAGGCCCATTTGGACCAGATCCCATTGGGCCATTTGGACCCATGGACATTGGGGGGAAAGGTGACATATTCATATTAGCACTGGAGTTTGGTGGGTTGATATCGTTGGGGGCTTGTGATCCATCACCAGGGCCCTGGTTGGGGTTGTTGCCTCCGCTTTCCGGGAACAACATCTGTTGCATTTTGCGTATTGTGGCCAGTTGCTCCTCGCGGTGGGCCCGTTGTTGTGGTGTTAGGTTTTCATCTGGTATTTTCACACCTACACGAATGTTATAAAATTACATCAAAAAACGGGTTTGACTTGATATTAAAAAAATTAAGAATGTTAATCAAGATTTGTTACCTTTAGGTCCAGTTTGGCAAGGTTGATCAGGGCCGGAGTCAGAAGAGGCTTGACTAGTGGGCGCATCTTGTGGAGTGGGGCCCGCTTCCGAGCAAGCCGGCAACGAGCCCGGTCCATTCGCCATGCCATTTGACATTACAGAGGGGTTTTTCTGTAAGATTATTTAAGAGAAGTTTAAAATACAGCACATTTATTAAGATTCAGAGGTATGTAAGATTATAAATTGTACTTACGGTGTCCCAGGGCATTTCACCATCAGCACCGAGGCCGTCCATGACACCACAGGACGGGGTGCCTCCTGGAAACCCATCCATAGGCCCCATCCCAGGTCCCATCTGACCCATCTGTCCTGGTCCACCTTTCATCATCATCATTTGACCTCCAGGTCCACCCATTCTGTTGGGGCCCATCATGTTAGGGCCCATGTGTCCCATTCCACCGTGACCCATTGGACCCATGTTGGGGCCCATTGGTCCACCCATCATGTGCCCCATTTGATTAGGCCCACCCATCATGTTAGGCCCACCTCGCATTCCACCCCGAGTTTTGGCCATGGCGAGATTGTTTAACCATTGTGCAGGGCTCTGTTTATTGAACTGACCCATCTTGAGAGGGTGTTTCTGTAAAATACAAGATTATGTTGAATATTTTAACACATAATTAATTTAAATATAAGTTTATTAATATATTATTATAAATATAGATTATAATTTTGAATACTTACCTCAAGATACTTCTTAGTGCCTGGTTGTGCGCAGTGATACGCTATAATTGAGTGATGTTGTCCCGAAATGACGGATTCTGCCCCCTTGTTAGCCAACAGCGTTGAGAACACGAAGATTTGACTTTGCTGCTGGGAATACATCCAGTATTTAGTATACTTTTTCCAAGCATATTTAGACTATAGATTAATTATAGTGCTAATTAGACATTTTAATAAGCTATGTTACCTCCATACTGCCAGCTTGTTTGCTGATGACGTTAGAAGGTAGCGTTTGTGCTTCACTGGCAGACATGGAGCCCATAGGGACGCCGGGACCCATCGGTCCTCCTCCGCCACCCATGCGACAAGACCCCATGGTCTCAGGCCCACCGTTGGGGTTACGACAATTTTGATTTTGATCCTAGACAAAAAAATATATCAAATCATACTTATGGAGTTTTAAAGTCTCCACATCACAGGAGAACATCCTAGTGTGGGCAAAGTTTAAAAAAAAAGTGTTTGGTCATGAAAAATTAATAGTTATTTTACCTGAAGATTATTTGTGGGTCCTCTGAGACCTGTCTGAGGGTCTAATATATCATTTGAGTCTGAGGAAAGTCGCTCCGACTTAAGAGAGCCTGGGCCGCCGAGTTCACACGACGGAGATTTCGTGGGGTCACCTGGTAGAGGAATATTATTTTATTACATTCAGATTTTTGAGCTAAATTATGACATCATATGAGATAGTGGTCAAACGTCACCCCATCAAATATAAAAAAATATATTATGCATTTGTGAAGATCTTACCGTCGCTATCCATAAGGCCGTCAATCTCAGTCTTGATACCGTCAACTCCCAGGTCGGCAGTGGAGTCTTCTCCACCCGACTGACTATGGGGTTCCAATTTGACCCTGTGCTGAGGTTCGTCAGGTTCCTTTTTCAACGCCGCTGGGGTCGGCAGCGACGCTGACGGCGGACGCGACCCATGTCCTGATTTGTGACAAAAAAATCACTTACAAAATGCAACCTTTTCAGTATTTATGTAGGCCTTGACCCAAACAGATATTAACCATTAATGAACAGTTTAATTCAAGCCTTTTTCAATAACTCTCAAGCAATAATTATAATCTCACTTTCATTAAAAGATTAACTTAGCAAAGAATTGTCTATTGCTAGTTACATTTACTGAATACTAATCACCGTAGCTCATCAGTAAATTATGTTAAATTATTGAATTCATTTGTAAAAATTACTGGAATATTGCGACTAACGCGAAAGAGTTGTTCAATGCGTTGTATCTGTGAAAAGCGAGTATTTACGATTTTATAGTATATATCTAGATTGCTAATTATGTGTGTGGATAGATAAACAATGAGTTGAGCGGGATAATAAATGAGATGAATCAATTACATGCATAGCTGTGCATACTGGTTCGGCTTTCACCATAGTAGTTAAGTTTTCTTCTGTTTTTTTAGATTTATTTACTAAAAGATTAATATTCTTAAACAAAACTAATAAAGTTTCTTGGTCATTACTTTCCACAGCAATGTAAACAGTGAAACAAGAAACTGGTTTGACTGAAACTAATGTATGTTTCTATTAGTGACCTTGAAAAGCACTTCATTGACTGTTTACAGTTAAACTTTTAAATATAAAAGCAAGCTTTTACAACATAAAGAAGGACAGTAAACAATTCAGAAGTGTACTGATGCCTATTATAACAATAATTATGCAAATATTACTGTAACAGATAACAATAACTATTATCAATATCAAACAATATTATTAGATATAACCTGCAATAAACAATTTGTTATATTTACTGTTACAGGAGGTATCATTTAATCACTTTTCCTGTTTACAAATTATTATTATTTCAATAGTAAATATACTTGAAACTTTATAATGATTTAAAAGCAGGAATTTCGTATATAACACCAATTATAAACTTATGTATTATAAAAATCTATTTACTGAGGTAAATAAGTCAAATTCAATATTTAGTTATTTCGAAATCCTAAATAAAAACAATAGTTGTCTATGAATTTTGTATGAGATTGTGTTAGACGTCATAATTTTTTGTATGATATAGCATACTTAATTCACATGAATTAGTTAGAATAAAAATACAAAAACAAATACAGTGAAATCAATTAATGAAAGTGTACATTTGAATGCTTTTGACACAATTTTATTTGTGACTGGAAACACATTATTTGTGTTAGATAAACATGATAGAAAAGAACATCACTGTGTTTATTTTATGTAATTTACATAGAAAAATGGGCACAAAACATTATTATCATTATGAAGTTACTTACCGGGCTCAGCAGGATCACTGGGCTCGTCCTTGAGGCGGGCGCCTCCGCCCTTCTCCTTCTCCTTGATCATACCCCTGCGTGCCTTCGCCAACTTGACTAAACACACAATATCATATTTACGTTTTGTAGACACCAATTGTACAACAAAAAAAAAATAAGTGGTGAACCATAGAGGATTGTATTGTAGTGTTTGTGTACCAGTGTATTTAATTATTGGACTATAAAATAATACTTTTAATTAGATCATTGTTCATAAGAATGTTATCAAGACTTTGTCATCGTGGTTTTTCCTATTTTGTTGTCTACTTAAGGCAATATTTCAAACAGAAGCCTAGTTGTACTATCTATATAAATAAAGATAAAGATTTTATATATAAGTGTAGTGAATTATTAACCCCAATAATTTAGAAACCTAAAGTAATGGACAGTAATTACGGTTTAGCAGAAAAGCAATATGACGTTATGAGATTGATAAGCATTTATAGTTTTGATATTATAATGGTCAGTTCTTAGACCTTGGTGCAACACATTATTATGAATAAGTTACTAAAACAAGCAATAATTTATACAAAAATGTTGTTTTGTCTTTAATAATAAAAATTTTGCAATACAACACCAAAATAACAAAACAGAATATCTAAACACATTGACTGGAATGTAAATAAATAAAAAATTATCTATGAATGTACCTGCTTATCCACAAGTGTGATAAATACAACACATATACAGGTGTTTAGCACATTGAAACTGTATCACAGTGTCTAAGACAGTACATGGCCATGTAACAACACTCTCTAGATATTTTTTATGTCCATGTGATCCCATCTAAGTCAAACACTAATGTTGTGCATTTGTATACATACAAAACTAATCCGTGGCGCGTTTCGTCACGGGCACAATAATTGGCACATGTCCCACAAATCCACAGAACGGCACTTCATTACAAGAATGTCATTATGCTGCACCAAATGATCGAGAGAATATTATAAATAGAGATCACAAAAACCTTGGCGGTCGGGGGGACGCCGATGGCGCGGACCGACCCCGCCGTCACTACCAGGCGCCGAGAAACCCTGATCGTTTCCAGATATTCAATTAAAACGAGAATACACCGCGAATCCCCATAAAAATTCCTGGCTTATTCTCCATACATAAACAATGAGATAGGTCGGGTGTAGACGGGCGCGAGCACACGAAACGCACGTTTGCTATGGCCGATTTATTGCCTCGGGAACGCCATTCGAACGAGATGATACCACGGGAGAAAGCGTCTAACATTATTTTATATCATTCGTGTGATCTAATTAAGGTATAACGATGGGTATGCAGCAAGAAACAAAAAATCGGGATCGCTGACATTTTTGTTTATGGTACATCGACGAGATCCAGAATCCACAAATAGCGAAAGAACGTACACGATTACCGCCTCCCGACGGATTCACTATCACTTGATAACACAAAACACTGTGTTTGTTCACATTTATGTAAGTTTCATCGTCAAAATATACCTGATTTTATTTAATTTCTTTCTATCAGCATTAACACAAATCACCACGCACACACAACACAACATACATATATGTGCACAACACTAGGGCGATGAGCCGATTATAATAATTATTATAGAAATTGTTTAGTCGATTTTTGGACGAAATATTAAATTCGATTTAATTAAGTAATACCTTTTCAGAAACGAATTCTTTTTTGTCTTAGTAATAAATTAAAGTATGATTACAAGTTTAAGTTTGGATAATAATTAGTAATTATTTCGTTTACTATGTATAGTAGGCTATAAGTAATATATTTTTTTTTCAATTATACGTATATCATGGACGTTTAAAAAATGGACATAGTCTCTTGATACAACTACTATAGCACCTAGCTTAGTAGACTTCCACGCAAAATACACACACATTGACACGAAGGACATTGTGTCGCGTGACAAAGGTGTTGCAAATACACACAAATATAAATTCATCCATGACATTTTGGTGCTTCAATGTTTTGTAAGTGACATTACGTCCGCCTTTTTCAATGTCCAAGACATAAACTCAAACTTTTATCACAAGAGAATAGTTAGCAGAAAGTACAATGCTTTATATTTGGACAGCCCTTATAATAATACAAAATTTTCAGCATTTATGACATTCAAATTCATGTATCTGATATAACCAAATCCAACCGGATATGGGCGACTTTTCGGATAAATACTGAGTAAATATTGGTTATTTATTTGGTTTTTGAATAATATTCGAGTAAAAATTAATGGGTATTTAATTTTTACTCGGTCTTTATCAGTTTTGAGTATTTACCCGATATAGTTCGCTTATCTTTAGATTATGATCATCTAAGTACACTGTAGCTTTATAAGTACTCTATAAAAACAATAAAAATTCTAAAGTTTTCATCTTAATTGGTTAAAACATTGGCGGAATTAAGCAAATAGAATAATAAAATTCTATGAACAACACATCGATTTCATTAAGAAATCATGAACGATTAATGTAGATGACGCTTTCGACTTACTGATTATTGAAAACAATAATTAAAATCGCGGGTTACTCACGTGAATAGTTATTACAAAAACAATAAATATGCATGTTATGGATAATTAAGATCAAATATTTAATTATTAATTAGTATTATTTGTTAGTCGATTATATCAATTTACTAATTTATAGTAAAAGTGCTTCACTATTGAGCGCAAATAAAAAAATCGGATACATGTACCAAAGGTAATTCACAGATAATTTATTACCTCGCTATTTCCTTCCTTGTTTATTAAGTGGTTTAGAGAGAGATAAAGGTATTTTATTAGGAAATAAATGGCGCTTTTTTAATGATTTTAGTTTTGCAGCATTTCTTGAGTTTCTTTTTTAGCACATTATTTGTTAATAATTGAATTGTATTGCATGTATTTGCTTAGTGAGTATTACTAGAGAAATATTTTACATTCATGTTGAAATCATAGAGTTTTAAAAGGACGTAATTATATTTAAAATTATTAAAGTGGGAATTAATTAAAATCCAAACAACAAACGTAAGATTTTTACCTATTAGTATTAAAGAAATCAAAAATGTATCTAAAAAAAGTAAAATCGTTTCTTGGCAGAATGTGATTGTCATTGCCACAGCAAAGTCAAACCTTCAAAAAAAATACAATTGTCTATGATTCATTACGGTGAAGGGAGGAGGGACGATTTCGCTTCGTTGTCGCCCAAATTATAATTTCATGGTGAATTGTGATAAGATCTTCGTATGTGGATTGAAATAAGTGACGTTATTTGGTGCTTTATTTGTGTGTAAGTGCGTATTTAATACATATTCGTTTATCCGTTTTGCAGAAAAGATTCCATTCTGACCGCTCCCTAGGCGTAGAATAGTACGTCAGTCGTCAAGTATTTTTCATGCCTGTTTGTACTACTTGCTTTAGTAGGGGGCCGCAATAGTAAAAGCAGTTGGAAAGTGCAATCGTACGGGAAATTGATGGTGTAAAAAACTATCTCACGGTCCGTTTATGAGGCGTTTGCCGTGTTGGTGCATTTATAAAGTTTGTAGCCATTTTCGGTGAGTCCTCATACACTTCGCTATTTATGTGTCGAAGCCGATGTTAATGTGTTTTACGTGATGATTGACCGCGAATACCGTGATTTGTGAGTTTTGATAACAGTGGCACACAGATTTATGTCATAGTTGCGTAGTAATGTTGAGATTCTTATAAGTCTTATTGATGTGGTCTGTAGTGAAATCTTACCATGTTTTCTCATATATTATGTTGCGTACAGCGATAACTTGTCTCAAAAGTGTGTCAAGTTATCGAAGAAGTCGTTCTGCTGTTTAATTGGAAGAAAATTTACCTTAACCCATTTATGAAAGTGATATTGTAAGTAGTTATTGTTATAAACCAACATCAGTACTTCAAGTACTGTTTTTATTTAACCTACATTGGTCATTCAGTGATAAGAAACTACTAATACAATGTCTCATAAGTCATACATGTGTTCAGCTTTAGAATTAATTTTGATAACATACCATTTATCAATACCTTCTTGCATTAGTTTGATATACAAAATTCCTTATCTTAGTTCAATATTATTGAGATTAATGTTATACCAATTAAATTAAATTTTTAAAATTGATCAATCATCTCTTAATTTTATTACTAAGAGAAATCTTACTTTAATTTTTAATCATCAGTGGTTCCATAAAAGTTATTCTATTCATCCATATAATCTATCAGCCATTGACCTATCCAATCATCACATACTTACTACTATAAAAGTATAAAATACCATAAATATTCAAACAACCTACTTCAATTCCACTTATTATACTCAATGTGTGATATTTCACACTCAATTACTGTTTATTTACGTTTAGGACACACTACAGTGAACCACTGCTTGATACATTAGTACAATTTATAGGACAAGCACATCAAGATAGCCCCTAAAACTCTAAAAACTAGACTTTATTACGAATTAATAAAGTTGAAATTATAGTACATTACATTCATATACCTTAATGTGAATTTGTACCACATAGTTTGGCGGCAAGCTCATCAAATTATCTCTAAAACTCAACATTAGACTTTATTGTGAATCTTTAAAGTTCAAAATCTAAAAGATTAGATTGGAATACATTGTTCTGCATTTGATCAGCACATCAAAATACCCCAAAACTGTTATAGGTAATTAGACTTTAATATGAATCAACAAAGTTGAAAATTCAGTAAATTAGAAGATATATTTGCACAATGCCGTAGGACCCATATTGTAGTGTTGTAACTGTAAGCTCTATTGTGATTGTAGCAATGTGACTAATCAATTTGACTGAACAATAAAATTGTAGGATGTCCCAGCCTAGCCCAGTTTGTAAATTGTTAGTTATTTCATTGAAGTTGTGCAAATGTTTTGTGGAATGTGTTTATTCATGTAGTACTTGTATGATGTGTTCATGATTTGTTATATTGTTCACTAATAAGGTTTAAATGTCTATAAATAGTCGCATAATACTGTCAGCCCAAGCCTCTGGTCTATTGGGTGTCCATGTGCATCACCAATTGCTTACTATCAGGTGATCCACCTGCTTATTTGTCGGCTTTTCCCATAAAAAAACTTTAGGAAGTAGGTCAAATTCAGCCTGAAAGCTAGCTTTTCTTTAACATTCATATCAAAAACTCAAAAATCAACAATATTGTAAATCTGTGACTGGCCACTGCTGGACTAGTCATGAGGGTTTGCCAAAATCTCCTTGCAGGTGCATCGAAGATTGTCATAGTCCCTCAGCTGGCTCTCACGACACCTGCAGCAAGAGTAGGAATTGTAACACATGTATTCTACTCTGCTGCAACAAAAGCTTTTAAGAACGACAGAAACATCAAATTCTCAACACTTAGACAAAAATAAAATTTAGAGACATTGTCTCTGAAACATGCTAGCTATTCATACAATTTGGTTCCCAGGCTACGTAATATTTATTGTATTTCATGCAATATAATAATGTATTCATTATACACACACATTGTGTACATACTTTCACTACTTATATAGTTGTATAGTCATTCCACACATGTAGAAAGTATACAAAATAAACATGTTTTTATATTTGTTTATCTATTTGGTTATTTACTTGTTCTCTACAGGCTGAAAAGACTTTGTTTCCAGGCCTTTTTAGCGTAGATTAAAGAAAAACAATTTGTTATTGATGGTTTTATGTTCAAAGGTGACCTTGCGATCTTTTAACCTTTTGAGCGCCAATGTCACATATACGCGACAAGCGAAAACTGTCCCTGGACGTCAACGACACAAATACATGACAGAAAAAGCGGAACCAGAAACACGAATTATTGGAATCCCTATTGTTGATACAATAGGGATTCCAATAATTCCTATTTCTTTCGTAGAAATTTGCGTGGAATTTCTGGCTTGGTGTCGAAGGCAGGTTCATGTGTTTTTGCTCTGGCGTTCAAAAGGTTAAGGTTTATTGGCGATGGAAATGTCAATTTTAGCATGTTTTGAAGATGTTGATCGTCTTTGTCACACTTTTTTTCTCGAAAAGAGTAGGTGTGTTTCGCCTGTACAAAAGTTTTGCCAATTTTTATTACAGTCTCATTAAATGTAGGTCTCATAACAAATCTGGATATAGGTAATTCCATAGTTAGGTAGGTACTACTTACTTTTACTAAGATCTCTGAAATCCCAACTTTTACCGATTTGCCGACCAGTAATCGACCATGTGCCCGCCACGCTCGCGTGCCTTACAAAAAAAATTATTACGGATAAAATTATTTGTTGGAATTGGCTTTTTTAAGGGGGGAAAATCATTCAATGGCTTCTGCCACCCGGGTGAGGTGAGAGGAAGTGACAGACTCTTCTGACTCGTTCCTACTCCTGCACTTCGAACGGAGACCGGCAACCCGTTAACCCCTTCGCGGCTCTGTGTCGGCATCAGCCCTATTGGGCCCCATCTGTGGTGGTCTGATGACTCCTTGAGGCGCGCGCAGAACGCGACCCGCCGTACGCTCGGGCCTGGTTCTGGTCGGACGGCGAGTCACCCGTGCTCTCCGTCCGCAGGTCCGTGCTTACGGTGGACGGAGATCATATCGCGATCCCCGACGCCCGGAGTGTGTCTCGCGACGTCTAGGGCGCGAGGAGTTCGTACCCTCACGCGCCCCGCCTCTTCCTTAGCTAGCATGACTGCTTCGCAGAAGAAGGAGACGGCACCCCAATCCCCCTCGTACCGTCGCATGGTCTGAACCAAAACCGACGCGAGAGGTAGCCGGTCGCCGATCACATCCCTGAGGACGGCGGTACTCAGCCCACGTAGGACACACCGCCACCGTATGCTCCACCGTGTCCTCCGGGCGGTCCTCGCAGTGATGACACCCGGGCCTTTCCTTCCGCCCAATCCGTAACAGGAACCTACCGAAATTTCCGTGTCCGGTAGTTGGAAAAATATAAAACTTTTCTCGAAGCTACTATTTTACTTACACCAAGATTGCATAATATTTGAACTTTTCCACATTATTGTACCAAGCAGAGATTAGTCCAGTTCGTACTTATCTCGGCTGCGTTTAATGCTCTCGTAATTCTTTACGCAGGTTTAGACATATCACGCCGTCATTTTCAGCACAGCCTACATGATATTTTTTACATCGTTGTCCATCGCACCTTTTATAAAAACTCAGCAAAAACATAATGTGACAAGTAGAAAGTTTACCGACGTTTCCTTCGGACATTACCTCACATTTTTCTTTTTTATTACTCACACTAAAAAGTGTGTCTTGTTCAAAATGGATCTCTCTAACTTAATTCAAAATAATGAATTTGTAATTTTATCCAAATTACGTCTATAACTTTCATGTAATACAATCTCTTATAATTGTAATGGTTTTATAAAATAATAATAGAATATAGCCAGCCTCTTAATTTGAAGCCTAGTGGTCTTAATCTGTGTTTTCTTAGGCAAAAATAAATGTTGAAACATTTAAAGAAGCGAACAAAATCGTAATTGGAAACGTAGTGGTCTAAATCTATTTTTTATTAGACAAAAATGTTGGTAATGATATTCAGAGTAGAAATGGTGGCTGTCGTTATATTCCACACTGCATCGGAAGTCCTATCATAAATATTTTGAGTTGCCTTCGTACTCAGCTAATTGCCGAGGCAATTAACCCCGTTATGAGCAAAGTGTACTGCGAATGCACCAAACGGCGACTGTGTCTTCACCAGATTAACAATGGGCTATGGAGCTTTCTTTTATTGCCTCTGTATACTTATTTCTTTGATAAATTGAAGTTAATTCATTCGTTGGCGCGCACTTTTTGCGCGGCAGTCCCACGAAAGTATTGTTAATTAAAATAAAAGCTTTGTAAAAAGTGTACGCGTTTGAAACAAAGTGAGTGCAAGTTTTAGTAACCGTGATATTAAATACTTTACGCTCTAATTATTTCTGGAATGTATATTTTCCTGCTTTTAGAAAGGCTATGAAAAATATTGAACTTTTATAGTAAACTAGCTATTTCCGCGCGGTTTCACACGCTCTGCTCAGTTTCTATTGGTTGTAGCGTGATGTTTTATAGCCTATAGCCATCATCGAGAAATACGCTATCCAACACAAAAAGAATTATTCAAATCTGACTTGTAGTTACGGAGATTAGCGCGTTCAAACAAAAAAACAAACTCTTCCGCTTTATATAATAGTATAAGATTTCACCTAAAATTGTATACCATATTTTCCTAATAAAGATTTGTAGGATATGTATTTGAAATGAAACAAAGTTTAACGGGATTAGGGGGTTTACGCAGGGTTCGCGAAGGATCGTGCCCAGACTAAATGCACTACAAACTACCAAAGACGGTTACCAAATTATCTAAAGTAAACACGCTCATACAACCGATTATTAAAGTAAATATTTGTTGTTTAAAGTTTGCATGGATTAGAAAACAAGTGCCTACCTATGAAAATTGTGTTTCGGCTTTGTTTGAATTTTAACAAACTTTGCAATGTTCTCAGACTTTGGCCAAAATATAATTACGTATTCGTTAAGTTACACGGTGAAGCGGGATTCGAGAATAATATTTGGCGTGCCAAGTATTCCGTGTAATGGAGCCTTATTGTAACTGTTTTTGCATCGTCAGCATATTATAACTGACTGCTGATTAGGTTTAATGGCCAATGAATTGATCTCTCTTGACACAATACGCTATTCTTCTATTGGGTAAGCTGACATATTCGAAGTTTAAGTACCTCGCACCTGACACATTTACTCATTAGTACATTTTTACAACCAAAACCGAAAAAAGTTTATCAAAATCAACAAACGATTAGACCTTAACACGTTAACAGCCGCGTAGGTCACCGGTGACCTACGTTAGCGGAGGATTTGTCTTCAACAGTTTTCTGTCAGCAGTCAAAGGCTTAAAGATCACCCTACGGACCAGTAGACTAAGTAGGTATTGATACAAATCATCTTGCAATAGTTACTCAAATTAACCAATCAACAGATGTTGCAGTAATATAATTAAATATTTACCCAGTATTATCAACGTGATGGTCATATAATCTAGACTAATTGGTTTACAGCTACCTAATATCTATACATTAATATTACACTCGCTTGATTGTGTTGGTCATCATACATCACATGAGCACGATCCGCTAAGCGCATCAATCAGGACTAAAGTTGTTGAAAGTTAAAATTGGTTATGAAATATTCATTAGCAGTTTTTTTTGTAGTAGATTGCTTTTTACCCGACTACTTGAAAAGGTTGGTCTTGTTCTTAATTTTTGAAAAGCCTTTCGATTACTGACTCCCTTATAGAAAATACTATTTTGTCGGTTTGTAAACGATAGGTTTACTTACACACATCAACAGCTTATAATGCTCACTGCTGAGCAAAGCTTCTTCTCATACGGAGAAGGTTTGATCATTAATCACCACGCTTGCTCAATGCGGGTTGACTATTTCAAACTTATAATTACAATATGATTTCCTTCACCGTTTGTCAGTTGTCTCTAAATAATCTTAGAATGTTGATATAACTCTGAAAATGTCACATTAGTACTTGCCTTACTTATGTACGGTCTAAATTTTGAGTTGTATTAATGAAAAATCAAAAACAAACTCGTAGCTTGAAAATTGTTCTCAGCTTTCCAGGAAAATGTTTGCACTTAAAAATATTCTCCGTACCACATAAGATGTCAGTAATTACTCTCCATTCTTTCATTTACAAGGAATTCTTAACGATATTATTTTATATTGCAAGGGACACCACTCAAAAAGGTTGGGGTACTACGGCCTTTGATCCTGGATGGAGCCAAAAGCACGTGTTTTGAGATTGAATTAACAAAGAGTCTTACGCTCTGTCTCATGACCTTGTCCCGTGACGCTTAACCTGTGATATACAACACTTCTAATTTTCCCTGGTTATGATTTATGAATCGGTTATCACCCGTGATAAGAGGCTACCTTTTCCGTATAGATAACACATTTATACACGACTGTAATGAGAAATTCTTCTTTACAATTCTTAGCCCCCATTTTGTAATTTGCCTTAGGGTCTTAGACCTCGATACATCATAAAAGTCAGTTTTGAGCCCTAACAACGAAATCCCCCAGTTTCAACCATAACTGTTTGCGGTAACTGTGCTTCGACCCAATCGTTTAGCCTGTGGGACATGAAATAATCCGATTTTGGCTACCGTTGGAACCTGAAACGGTCGCAAACAAAATAGATGACATAGTTTGTGGTAGTCAGATAGTTTTGTGAAAATTGTAGCTTTTTTGCTGATTAAATCCTCGCGGAGCTCTATTTTCGACTTTTTAATTCTGTTGTATGAGTGTTTTGTTTGCAAATACTTTAAATCTCTGCTTAGATCGGTTGTTTTATGGTCTTCGAAATGAATAGGTACTTTTTTCACATCATAGAATGGGCCATTTTGATTCTGTCGTAAGATTCAGAAACCACTCAGCATAGTATGTAGGTAGTAGTAGGTAGCAGTCGCAATTCAACCTTTTCCTGGTCACTTCATAGTGGCGTTGGTTTCTTTATAAGTGCATTACGTGTACCTGCCACTGCTACGTGTTTAGATTTTTCATTAGTTCCAATTTTCTACACTTGAGTCAATAAATCGGTGGCACATTACTTTTTAATAGGTAGGTAGTGGTTATAAGGACATTATAGCTGCGCCTTTTTTGGCATTAGTTGATATAGAGGTACAAAAACTTTTCAGTTTCTATGACCGCTACGGAACTATTACTCTTTGGTTGTATAGTAGCGGTATAGTAGCTAAAATTCGTCCGAAAATTTCGAAAGCAGATGGTAGATTTATCGAAAAAATGTTAAAGACTGCAAGAAATGTTTACGTAACTTAAGCTGAAGTCCACCAGACAGGGCTGCCAGCCATTAAATAACTATCACTTTTTGCTGCCAATGAAAGTTCGTCCGATTTGCAATGGTAATCTCTAGAAAATTTTATTCTGCATACAAAGGAAGGCATTGTATGTAAGCGATTTTCGCCTTTAAATTCCCCGTCCATTATTCTTAATTACAAGGACCAGGAGGTCAATATTCGGACTAATTTTCCTTAATGATTATTTTACTTTGTCTCTTGATGACCGAGGTATGAATAGGACTTTTGTTATATCAAAATTTTGACTTGAACAATATTTACTTGTTGTTGAACCCGAGATAAATAAAACAAGTATAAATGTTGTATGTTGACTTTATTCTTATATATCTTGGTTTATAAATAATTTATCTACTCCCCGAAGAACAGTTCATTGTAGTTATATTGCGATTAAAGAATATTAATGACAAATTATTCGTCTCGATCGTTTGTTGAATACATATTAGTTTAATCGGTCCATTGTTAATACTTAATAACAATACTAACATGAATAATACTTGTAGGCGCCATAACCGCAAATATTTATGCAATGATCATTAACGAGTTATGTACTTGAAACAAATACTGCGACAAATTAAGCGTAGTAGAAAAAAAACTTCGATTTTAAGCAGGCCTATTTTTGTGTCGAGGTGACGCCCATCATCATTAGTTTTAGATTATCATCCTTCATATTGAATTCCTTAAATGTTTACCTAAGTGCTGACGCCTCCATTTTGTGATATTGAAATGGAAGGACGCGCTACTCGATACCACAATTTGTGTAGACATATGTCAGTGGTGATATAACACAACCCTTCTTAAGGATCCGACGTAAATGTATCTCCCAAAAACGTCCAAATGAAATTCTGCAGCACTTATCACATATTTTCTTCTTTACCAAAAGATGCGCTGCAAAACCCTAAGTTTTCTCGTATATTTCAAACTTTGGTTACTACATTTTTATTTGTGCAAATGGCCGCTAAGTGGAGACCTAGTTTTCAACTTTAACGTGAAATTGTTTGTTACAGGTGAATTGAATCAACATCAGTATTATCAAGAGCAGCTCATAATGACATTACGTTGTAATACCTTAAGTGGCCATTAGGGTATCATCGGTCCAGTTTAGACATGATAAGAAGACCACAGCAGACATGGACGGCGTGAAGAAAATACATTCTGGAACACTGTATCGGTAAGTCCATTTACGTCATTTCAAAAAATAAATCTGTATTCTCTCCATCCAGGTATTTGAACACGAACCTGATTGGCATAGGCATCTAAGTCTTAATGTAGCCGATTACTTCAAAAACTTAGTTTTTATAGTCCATTTTATGACATCTCAACCTGATATTTTTATGGACAATTTAGTTGCGACAAAGCATTTATTGACCAAAAAAATATCCTGCGTTAACTCAACATTTCCAGTTCTGTCTTGTAAGTATCGTTTGCGTTTGAAGGTGTTAATGTTCCGAAGTAAAATTGAAACCTTTGGTACAAGCTGCAAGGTTCCTCTGTCTCCGTGTAATGTGACAACAAACTTGATGCCACAATGTTACTGACCTAGGACATTCGCATTTGGAATTGATTGGGAGGATATCCCGCTACTTGTAGGTCGTTAGAGCTTCATTGTTCGATGTCACTGCTTGCATGCATGATTCTGGACCAATATACATGTGTTTGTAGCTTGTTTACGTTTAAATGCATGTAGAAGTGTACAATTGAACTTTTTTGTGATACAGAATTAAAAAAGAAGGCCTTCTCTTCGCTCTAATCGGAATTGAACATAAAACTTAAGCGTTTTTAGAGATCTGAATTCTTATTACTCATCAGAAACTCTCCAAGCAATCCGAAATTAAATGGTGTGTACTGTGTACCAAGCCCAGTTTTAATTATCGGAAGTGTATATTTTTATCTTTTACCCCTTTTTTCCTTTGACCATGTTTCAAGGGTAAGGTAAGCGTTAAATGCCAAAACAGTTCGAGTTTCCATTTCATCTGAAAAGGATCGAAACCTGATATACAACCAACTCCTTTATAAGTTTCGCATTCAATGCCCGTAATGGCTTTTTCCTTTTCTCATTTTTGCCAAGTTTCTGCTAAATAGAAAATGTTGGTCAAAAATTTTTCTGCATTAGGCGATTATTCGTAAACTTCAAAAAATGTTTACACATCGATTGGAGTATACTTTTGCTTGTATTTTCTTTGAGTTATAAATGAACGTTAAATCCTTATACGCTATATTGATAAACACTCTTCATCCACCGACCTAAGGATTTATTCGACGCGAAAAGTTAACCACGTTTGGCGCGATAAAACGATTTAGTTAGGTTTCGACTAAGGAAAGCTCATTTTAAGGGTCAAATTGGCAATAGACTAAATGTGTTAGCGCTTCTGTAGAAGCTAAGCCTCTTGCCTTTTTCAGTCTAGGTAATAACAATATTAGCGAAATCTTGAGCCTGCTCCGTATTTTTCTGTACTTTTATGAGTAAGTAGTTAGCTTTCAAGCTCCAAGACCTTCACAAAAGGACTTACCTTAAATGTTAATAATCCAATTTGAGTGTCGTCTGAACATAACTGTGTAACAATGTCAAATTCCACCAGTTTGGCATCTGGCTTCGTATCAACGCAAATACATATTAATGACATAACTGGGAACTATACAGTGGTACCTGAATAATACAGTAACCGCTGAAATCTGCGGCGTTTCAATATACAGTACTAGGTACTAATGCTTTGTCACAAATTTTGCATGTCTAGATTGTCTGGCCGGAAGCTGAACATTGACTTGCACCGGCTGCCATATTCCCGCACTAGTTATAACTTAATAACTACTGTTTATGTTCGCTAACATCCAGTTTTAATTAGGAACTAACTTTATGCAAGCGGAATTTAGGAGAGTTGAATCTACTCTGTATCCGCTACTAACGTAAATGTTGTCGTATTTTACTCCGAAGGGAATCCAAAGAATTTGTTCAGGACCTCCTTCATTTTAAAGACATTATGTTCAAGAATGTCAGAACAAGTTTGCAAGTTATTGTGATTGCAGAATTTTCCCCCTAAACTCTGTTTCGCAACTCGAAATATAATCGACTTGTTTTCGATCCCGATTTAACTAACAGGTATTCACGATTACATTTCCATAGTCGGATTATTATTGAGTAGGTTTGTTAATTTCATTGCGATTTTCCGGTCCCGATAACTTGGTGACACAGAATCGATTACGCGGTAATGGTGCAATACCACTCGATACGTTAATCAAATAAGGAAAAACTGCCGGTAAGATTGCAGTGATGTCACACTGTAGAGATATCTCCGTAAAATAAAATCAGCAACTATCTATTTCATTTCTTACCAATCAATAGTGTTCCCAAACTGTCAGGAACACGGTCGTTATTGGAAATCTGACACCGAATTCTTAACTGTCTTTTTTATTTATTAACGTCTACTAGTCTAGCGAATTCGCGAGACTTTAGATTGAATTCTGACTTAAAATTGAGGTCAGTGATGCATTTTTAATTTAGACTAGAAGACATGTTGACTTTTGAACATTTCTGTAAATCACTGGGGCAATTAGTTTGAAGATCTTTCCGACGGCTATTCAATTATGTATTCATTCGTAGCTGTGCCTCGGGTTCGTTTCAAATGACCCTCAGAAATGGATCTAACAATAAGTTTGGGCCGAAAATCCTTCAAACCTTTGGACAAATGCCTATTGAGTCTTCTCGAGTGATCCATTACATATTTTCCTACTATTAAAATAGAGGCTCGCATTGATTCGCAGGACAAACCACAATACTCTATTGTGTAACCCATATCGTTTGCTGTATGTGTGTAAAAACAATAACTGACCGCATAGATAGGCGGTGTTCCATTTCCATCCTATCTCGTGTACTGAGATCACTTTATGAACAACACTACGCCATTTAGGCCGTCTGTATTGCCTCACTGTATTGGCAATACAATACCCTGAGTACCTACTTGACACGACAAAATCACACTCGTAATTATGTCAGATGGCTCCTCTTCTGAGAGCATTTTCTTGTGTAAATGTTTCATCTGTAGCACCTTTTTTCGTAACCTATTTAGTATTCTTATCATCTTGTATTTAGGACGTAATACGAGGAAGTGACTCCTAAATAGGCTTTGCCGAGAAATTTTCCGATTCTCAGCCCGTTTTTTATTTTGAAGCTAAGTAATTGATATGTCTCGGAGGTCACAAAAAACGTACGTCTACAATAAGTAACAGAATCGCGTTTGTTTTCGTACAGTATCATTTCCACGCTACAAGGTTAACCACTCCAAATTCGTTGCGTCCTTACAGGGATTTATTTCACAGAAACGGAGGATGTTACGTGAATTTGTAATCATTTATAATCACGTTTTTGTCCATTCGCTCTTTTTGCTTGTACAAGATGGTCCCGTTTCTTGTGCGACGGAATTGCTTATAGACCATTTTTAAATGTCGCTACGAATATGCGGCGTCTAAAAATGTCTACATTGTAATTTGAAGAAGTTCGCAATAGTGCTCGCTTTAGCGCTGCGTCCGCACGAATGAAGAAATCAAGAAGATTAAAAATAACCCAGTTGTATACAGATGAAATCCCTAGTGGCGGCGGCGGCAAACCTAAAGTGCGAAATGCCTATTTCTGCCTTTTTTATTTTACCTTTGTCGCTCGTGTGTCTGCCAGCGTGACTGACTTATCCCATTCCTCGTACGGCGACCACAGTCCCATAACTATTGTTCGGAAACGTCTATTCTGTAAACTAAAGCTTTTAATTTCAACTTACTATTTCTTTAAATCCAGAAACAGTTATGAAAGATCCTCTTTTAAAATAATGGCAATCTGCAGTAATATTTGTCAGTCTAACAAATTATGATAAAATATTGCTATCGGTTTGGATTCAGCGTCGTAAAACACGAATAATGACATAAAGTATGCATATTTGATGCGGTTGGTATTATTTTGGGCATTATTGGCAAAACAGCTTTGTTAACTAAAATATTGAAGCCCAGCGGATCCTATCTGAATTTTAATAAGCCGCCGCTATGCTGTCTCCTACATATTATCGATTCGGTATCAGCAAACATATAATAAGTTGGTATAATCAGATACTTTGAGAGTATTATATAATGAAAACTTATAACCAAGTTTATAATATCTTGGTATATTTCGGGCGCGGTCTAGGTATCAAGTTGTACGTCTTCTAGGAATTGTATCCAGCGCTCGTTAGTCGCTAGCTTTGTGTGCTTCTCATCTCGGCCGTCAAGGTTCCCGTGCTACACAAGAAAGAAGGGATTAAAGAGAATCTGCTACTTTGTTTGTTTTTTAATGTTTCTAAGAAAAAACACATGCCTCAACCTTTTAAATTTCACACACAGATATTTTTATTCTTGTTGTTGATGGGCGTACCCTTTTACTTGTGGGTGTTTACATAGGCGTCACATAAATTCTCCTTTTCTCATACCTACAACTAATAGAATACCGTATTGATGTTTATTCTGTGGTTTCGGGAAAAATATAATCTGCTATGTTTGGCGGGGGTTTTTTTGGTAGCTTTTATGGACGTATAATATTTAAAGTACTTCAGATTTTTATTATGCGATATTTATTTCTATTTTGAGCGTCCTACACACATTTTTATTAGAGTCGAAAGAAAAATAAGTACATTCAAAGTTAAAACACAAACTTTAACTAAAATCCTAATAAACCTCTGTAAAACCATTTTCAGTTGATAGAGAAGAGACTGAGACATAGATACACTAAGTTCCAAGTTAACTGGATTACGTCGAGTTAGGTGTAAATCAGCGTGTGTGGAATAAGAATATACGAGACGTGAGTGCGGGAGTACGGAGGCACTGGCAATTGGCATGAGCGAATGCAATCGATACCTCTAAAGGCTATTTCTTGCCAGCTTTCGGTTGCGGTAGTTTTAATTAGAATTAAATTCAGCACCACGTTCAGAGTTTTAAATGTAATAGAGTGTTAAATAGGACAAGTTGAGTAAAATATGCAAATATGTTGACTATAACACATTTTTGATCCGAGATCAATACGTATAAAATTGAATCCAGTGTCATTCAATTACTCTGACTAAATTCAAAAGTTTAACTTTCCTCATGACTAAATCACCCCTGTGATTCTAGATCGTGTAGCAGAACAGTAAAGACAAAAACACCATTTTTTTGTTAGTT